CCCCAAAACCCCAAAACCCCAAAACCCCGTGAAGGAAGATATCTTTTGAAAGTTATTAAGAATTATAGTTTTGAAGAGACCAAGCCAGGCTTGTCTGAGGCTTTAGTTTACTAATAATTTTGCCTTCTTTTCGATAATTTCGATAGCATCTTGGTCAGTTGATTCAGAGTCTGAATTAGAAGGGCTCCGGTTAAGTTGTTTCCATTTGAAGTTTTGTGAGCCTTGGGCTTTAGGAGTATCTTCTGGCTCTGCCTTTATAGGCTCTTCTGGGAGTGCTATCTCTAGTGTCTCGAGAGGAACGTTGTTGAGGAAGTGTTGTGCCACTGGGATGAAAAAGTCGAAATCGCTTGAATCACAAGTGTCTATATCTATTTCAAGGAGCTTATCTATCTCATCTTGGGCTAGGTTAATGCCTAGTTTAGAAGAATTTGTCAATAGTGATGACCTCAAGACATTTAAAGCACTTTTGAGTACAGTTGTGAAATGGTTCTTACATTGAATTGGATTTTTAGAAGGGAGGATCTTTGCGCAAGTCTTCCATTTCTTTCCTCACCTAAGTACAACTTCGAAGAGCTGGTTTGTCTCCCGAATTGTCCATCCGTCTTCATTGATTTTCTGGTCTGGGTCTATTTTTCCTCGCTCTTCAGCTGAGTCAGGATCAGTAGGTTGCGAAAAACTTTGGGTGTGTTCCTCGTCTTGTTTGATTTCGTGTTTTACAACTCGCTTCTTTGAATTCCTAGCCGACCTTCTTGGCCTTGCTTTAGGCTTTGTTTTTACTTTAACTTTCTTCGGGTGCAAGGTCTCAAGCAGTGTCTTCTTGTAGCGATTAACTCTTTTTAGTATTTCATATCTTCGCCTGCTCACAAGTTTGTCGAGGACATGATGGATTTGTTGATTTACGAGGGAGAACATCCAATCAATTATTTGGCCATCTTCTGGTTCGGTCCAAGGCCCTTTATCGTAACTTGGATCAATATGTCTCCATCTGTCATAGCATTGTTGACGATTCCGTCCAGGAAAGTTCTCAGCAACTTTGACCCAATGAAAATTGAACATTTGGGCGAGTTCAAGAAGAGTTTTATCATCCTCCTCGTTCCATGTGCATTTGGGGGTTTCCATTTCGTCCAAATTTAGTGGAAATAGGAGTTATATGAAAGACTTGTTACTTTTAGACCGCTAAATTAAGTTAGAGAGTGCCTAGCTCACTGGCCTTCTCAAGGTTCTTAGAGTTTTCATTTATTACTAAGGAGATGTAAGAGTCATTATCTGATGATGAGTCCTCGTCGGATTCGCAGGTATTTTTACTCCATGAAAACCCTGAGATCATTTTAGTAAGCTCTGCTGTTTTAGGAGCCCCCTTGCGCTTAGGCTTCGAGCTTTGGTCCTCTGGGGGCTGGGGCTGGGGGAAGGAGTCTTTGGTTTCTTCCTTCAAAAAATTCTGTAAATCTTCTACTGAGGGTCGGGTTAGTATATTACTGTTGTTGTTGAGGAGGTATTCGGCCATTTCAATGAAGATTAGTAGGTTATTTTGGGGGCAATTTAGAGGATCCTCTAGGTATAAAGTGGATTTGTTAGGAAACTTATCAGATAGCAAGCCTTTGCTCTGGTCAACATCTTTCTTGTACTCTCAAGCGGTGAGCTGTAATATTTCATAAAATTTGTATCTAATCTCTTCAGAGGTTCGGTTGGTGATAAAGGGCTTAATTTCTTCCCATTTTTCACCAAGTGCTTGATGCAAAGTGAAGATCTGCTGGATCTCAGAAGTGGTCCAATTATCATCCTTTGTTTCTTCTTTAAGGAGGTATCCGCTGGTGTTGCTCTTCATTTGCTCTGAGTTGACTCCAGGATGAAACTCTTGTTTAATTACTGTATTCTCAGTTTTTACTATACTTCTGCAAGAACTTTCAGTACTTCTGTCCGGGCTCTCAGCCTTTGACTCTCGTTTGACAACTCTTTTACGTGTGTGCTTCAGCCTGCGAGAGCTTCCTATTTTCGTATTTAATTTACCCTTCTGCTCTCCTTTTGGTAGGAAATTCTTGACACAGACATTATGGATAGCTCGGATTCTGAGAATGATATCTCTTCGGGCTCTGTCTGCAAAGGTATAGTCCAGATTAACGATGCGGTCTTCGACACCATAAAAGATGGCTTCTATAAGTTCGCTGTCTTCTTTGGGGTCCCATTTGCCCCTCCTCACAGTGGGGTCAATGTTCCTGTAACGATGCTTGAGTTGTTCATGGTTTTTATTTTGGAAATATTTTGAAATTTGTAGCCACTTTTTGCCGTATTGTTCGACCAGTTGGATCAATTTGTGGTCTTCTTCTTCAGTGAAAGTCATTAAATGCATTTTTTTTTTGGAGGCAAGGATTGGTGGGTGCGAATTTTTAGAAGGAATTTTAGGGTGAGATGGATTCTGAGGGATTGGGGTTTTGGGGATTTTAGGAGAGGGGATAATAGTGTTTTAAAATTTCAATATTTTATTTTTTTATGGGGTTTTGGGGTTTTGGGGTTTTGGGG